TTTGACTGCTCACCAGAAGGCTGGTGGTTCAAACCCACCAGCCACTCCTCAGAAGAAAGATTGGGTGATACACTTTCTAGTGATAGCACCTCAGAAATACAAGGAGGGGTAGCTATGAGTCAGATCTGACTGGATGGCAGTGAGTTTGGTTTGGGGTTTATTATTCTTTAAAATTGTTTTATGTAGTATAATATGTAGTCAAAATAAGTAGATACAAAAGCTGTTCTGAGCTACAGTTAGGTGCTTCAGAGTTCTTCAGTTCCTCAGAGGATGAAGCTAACATATTCAAATCCAGATGGAACACAAGTGACATCAAGTAATGTCACTTAATCAAGTAAAAGATTGTTGTTGTTGTTGTGATGTGTCGTCGAGTTGGCCCCGACTCATAGCGACCCCTCCTTAGGTTTCTGAGGCTGTATCACTACGGAAGTAGGATTGCCCAACCTTCCTTCCGAGGAGTAGCTGGTGGGTTTGAACCTCCAGCCTTCTGGTCAGCAATCAAGTGCCTTAAGCACTATGGTACCAGAGCTCCTAGTAATAGATTGTGAACTATTAAAATGCCAGTTCTTCATAGTAAGGGGTGTGTGTTTGTGTAAGTAAGCTGATAGACAGAATATTTGTGAATATTATTTCTTAAAATACTTCAAAAATGTATTACATGTTAACTAAACATGGAAATGGTGAGTGTAGTGGGGAAGTGCTGTGGGGAATAGTGGGGTGGAGAGAGGGAAATGACAGTATAAGACCAACTGTAATAATTTTCTATATAGCAAGTCTACTTTCAGTTATACCCATTTAAGTTATTATTATTATTATTATTTCTGCATGTATGTATGTGTGTATTGCATATATACATATACATATACATACACATATATATATATACATAATTTCTGTTTCCTCTAATACAGAGAAAATGGATGACAGTATATTCATGGAAATCATTCTGCTAAGAACACAAATGACATTTTTCAGAGCTTATGTAGGTGAAGAAGGTTAATAGTTATAAATACATCTTAGGACTTGATCCAAGAAGGAAAATGACTATTACCTAAACTACTGTACAAAAAGGTGGCATAAACTGTATCAAATGGCATGACAGCACAAACTATACAATAACACTGGGCAAAGCTATGGTAAGACACATAGTCTATCTGTTTAATCTATGAATAGTTATTTCTATGTGTGTAATATTTCTGTTGAAATTTTATAGACTATACATTAGCATAGTGGCTAAAGCACTTGACTGCTAACCAGAAGGCTGGCGGTTCAAACCCACCAGCCACTCCTCGGAAGGAAGGTTGGGCAATCCTACTTCCGTAGTGATACTGCCTCGGAAACCCAAGGAGGGGTCGCTATGAGTCGGGTTTGACTCGATGGCACATAACAACAACAACAACAACATACATTTTAAAGCTTTAATCACCTATTTTCAAAAGGATTAATGACAAATTGAAAGAGAGAAAATAAATTGACCCAAATATAGATAAGGTTTTTTGAGTATCATTTCATAACTCATTAAATAAGATCAGGTGGGATGTTTAGAATAGAGTGAGACTTTTAATTTTTTTCTACATTATTTGAATTTTAATCTTAAGCTTCATATACTAAGAGTAAAAGCTTTAAAAAATATTATTCTACACTATTAGTCTCTAAATATTCAAGACAAAACTATTTCTCTTTCCAGAATTACCTGGGCATCCTAATTCATCTGAATAGTCTCCACAGTCATTAGACCCATCACATATCCAGGTTGGCAGAACACACAGTGAAGTAGAATTACATCTTAGGAACCCTGTGGTTTTCACTCCAAGTTTATAGAAATGTGTACAGTCTGTATTATCTAGAAGAAGGCAAATAGAAAAAAATGAAAAACATTTCATTTGCCAAGATTATGATCCTTTTATGTAGGTCATAGAGATAATAAAAGTGGCTTCATTTGAAGAAGTAAATATGCGATTATCCTACAAACTAGGGATTAATTACATATCAATTACAGACAAGGTTCAGTAAAAAGTTGGACAGGGTTCAAAATAATGCCAAAGGTGTCCAGGAATGAACAAGCAAAAGGTAGTGGAATATCTTACTGCAGTTCTTTTCATCTGAAGCATCTGTACAATCTATGTTCTGGTTGCACCGTGCTGATCTTGGAATGCAAGTTCCATCTGCACAGCGGAACTCAACAGCAGCACAGGTTGTAACTACAGGAATAGATAAATTAATAAATAGAAGAGATAGGAAACATCTCCTTGCCTTCACACTTTGAGTACTTTAACTAATTCATGTTATTTTGTTTACTTTTGCTTTTTAACTCTGGGAAGTCAACCCCTGGATTCCATCCCCAAGCTTGGGGTAGATGTCACTTATATGTCTTCCCCTGTCACACAATTCTTCCCTCTGACATGGTACTTTATTGTAGTGCATTGCAACATTCTGTTTATGTGTCTGCTCCCACTGTAAACTGTAACCTCCACGAAAGCACATAGAACTCTGCCTTCTTTATCATAGTAGTACAACACTAAGACAAAACTTAAAAAAAAAAAAAAAAAGGAATGTTCTTGAACATTCTCACACCTCTCAACTTCAAAAGCACCAGGTTATAACATTAAATGAATGCTTGATTGAGTTCCTATTGGAAAATCTGAATCTAGTTGCCAAAAAGAAAAGAAGTGAGACACTGTATGCTAAGGTAGATAGATTAGACAGACAGATAGATAGTAAAAAGATAAACCTGTTGTTGGCAAGTTGATTCCAACTCACAGTGACCCTACTGGACAGAGTAAAACTGCCCCATGTGGTTTTGCAGACTTTAATCTTTATGGAAGCAAACTGCCATATCTTTCTTCCTTGAAGCAGCTAGTGGGCTCGAGCCACTGACCTTTTGGTTAGCAGCCAAATGCATAACCACTATGCTCTTAATGCTTAACCAAGGCTCTTTACATAGTAGATTTTTAGATGGATGAACAGATAGGTAGATAGACAGATAACAATAGAACATTTGCATTTTATTCTAAGGGTAAACTGCTGAGCACTGCTAGAAATCATCTATACTTTGGCTTCTTTCCACAGCCATATCATCATCGTTTGGCACAGGAAATGTGGGTACCTCATGCAAGAAACATATTGATGTGGTATTGCTTGCATCTATTTTTCTGAAAGTATGGCTTTCCAATGCCCTGTTGCACTTAGATAAATATAAGATTCACTGTACTACTGTCATTATATATACTTTGTACAGAATAGCTTATTCTTAATCATACAGTCCTTTTTAGGTTCCTTACACATTCATTATGATATAATGCATTTCAACAATATATTGTGAACAGGTGCATCGCATGCTATGCATGTTACATTAACTTAACTGAGACTTTCATTCCATATTCAAATTTCCACAGGTTGATTATGTTAACATGCAACATGAAGGGCTCTTTGATTACGTCACTTACTAGTTTTGGTATGTTAAAGAACTTATTTAATTATAATTAAAAATTATATTAATTGTAAATGGCTAAAATGCTATCTTAAAATATGCAAATTTTACTCAAAGGTGTACACGTCATTTGTATTTCATAATGTACTGCTCTTATTGTTTTTAATTGTATCTTGAAATTACATTCTTATTTGTGTTTAAATGATGATTAGAATAAATGTTTTATTTACAATTTGCAATTATAATTGCTTCACTGTTTATTCCATTAAGGAAAAAAAAAATCTTAACATGAAACAGATAATACTATTATGAATAGAGATAAATGCCTTGTTCTAAATCTGTAAGAAATAGGTTTTTCCTCTTATTTTTATCAAAGCAAAATCTCTTCTACCCTCCATTGCCTCCATTGCCCTCCATTATATTGCATATTTATTTTTTAATGCAGACATTAAGTATAGTATATTTTGTATAAAGTGATCAAGAAATTCATTTACATTTTTTATTTTCATTATCCATCAGTAGTCTTTACCACTTTTTGTCCCAAATGATTTCTTATAATCTGTTTTATTTCAATGACAGGATGCATTTCTTTGTAAAATAACATTTTAGGTAGAAGTGATATTCCTATGCAAGCCTACGAAGTTTCATCTTACAATGTACTTGAAATTCCATCTTAGGGTATACTTGAAGTTAGAGTTTAGGATATCAGAAATATCCCAAAGAGGACAAATGGAGAACCTATTTCACCATCTCCATCTCCTGCCAAGCTTTCACAGAGATTCCTCTATGTACTCGGGAGGGCATCTATCTGAGTGGGTATTGGTGGCAGAAAGCATGAAGAACAAATTATGATTCCATGAATGTGAGGGGTATGGCATCTCAGACAAATAAACTGGAGATTTAAGGATTTCAAAGTAGTGGAATTTTAAGAATAGTAAAAAAAGGTGACAGTAGGAGAAAAAATTGAGTTGTGAAAAGAGTTGAAATGAAAGCTAGTAGAATAGAGTCTTGAGTAGAATTCTGGGGTGAAGGAAGAAATGAGAAGAGGAACTCAGACCCAATAAGTAGTAACTATAACTTTGAAGTTAAGAAGGGTAGTGAAGAGATAGTGTTAAAAAGAAGGGCACAAGAAACGGAAATTGGTAGAGATCAAGAGAACCCAGTAAAGGGAAAGAATCTTCAGGGAATATTTTTTCTCTCAGTCAACAACAGGGCTGAAGAACCCTGATGAGGAAGGATAGGCTAGGTGATTAGTGTGTGTAAGATGTACCAATAGCCATAGATTTTCCCTTATCTCACCCTGCCTCCAGTGATTCCACAACTTGGGTTAGAGTCTGAGATCTACCAGAAGTGGTAAGTGGTAATGGAATTAGACATAACAAATGGCTGTAGAAGTTTGTAAGCAGCAGAGGCAAGGTACTTGGTGAATTAATACCTCCAGCGTTTCTAGCCAATGCAAGAGATTTCTGAGATGACAGATATTCATGGGAATAGCAAGAAGTGAGTGCCTCTTTGACCAATATTTCTTTCTCTCTGCTCCCTCAATTACATTCCTACCTCACTATAGTTTGGTCAGTCAATGATTGACATTTGTGTTATCCTGAGGGTGGTTTTTAAAGGAGAAAGATGCTGGAATCACTAATTTGTCAAGTGAATATGAAAGTTATTTTTTGATGACTTTCCCTCAGGCTACAAGTCCTAAAAAGAAAGAAAATAAAATGATATAGTCCAAATAAAGATAAACCAAGTGAGAAATACTAGACTTTTCCCAAAAGATAGTCCAAAGGAAAAAGTAAGTCTACAAAAATATAAGTGAAAACATACCACAGCCACACCATGAATAGCAATGAGACACTACAAAGGTTGAAGATTTGACAGGGATTGTGGATCAAAAGTAGTAGCAAGAGAGAAAGCAAATCCATTCTTCCCTTTATATACTTTCTCTATTTTCCCATTTCTTCCAATTTCAATTGCCCATGTCAGTTAAAATATTTAAAGAGATAGGAAATCTCTTGGCCTTTCTGTGGTTCTTAGAATTCTATTTCTTATAAATAACCTAAGTCAATTTTCTCTTCCAACTTCCCTTTCCCAGACCAAAACAATGAAAAGCTGACAAGGAAAAACTGCATTAAATTTGCTGTCATATCTCTCTTCTGTTTATTTTCAAACCACATCATTTATTTTACTGCTTAGGTTCTAAGGAGAGAGGAGTGATGATTTCTTCTCCAGGCATGCTTATCCTTTTCTTTTAGTCTGCTGTTTGTGGAATCCTCTAAGTTTTACTCTAAACTTAGGGGAAAAAAAAAAAACAGCAGTTTCTTCTCCTTTAGGTAACCTTAGAACTACTTAGCTCTCAGTCCACCTGAAGGTATTGAAGTGGCCAACAAAAGTCCATGTACATCCCAAGGGAAGTAATTTATACTCATCTCAACAGGGAACCAGGGATATCATCCACTGTCCCTGAATCTAATCACTCATCCTCTCACACAACCAGGAGAGGAATAAAGAATGGCAGACTTTATGGACAACTCCTGATATCCTCCCTACCTCACCTCACCCAGATAGCCTCATGTCTAAAATGCCCAGTCATGAAAGAAATACCTATAAAAGGGCAATAAATAAATGATTTATGAGATTTTTTTTCTTTTCTTTTCCTTTAGAGAGAAGAATCCAGAAACAATTCTTTGTAACATCTATTTCCATTTCATAAATTTTCTCTGTCCTTGTAAAATTAAAAACTATTGTTATCAGTAGCATTACTACATAAACTATTATAGTAATATGAATTACTATCAGCATACAAAGTAAACAACAAATGTATTAATAATAATTATAGATATCCCTGCAGGAGATTCTCACCACAACATATCATTATCGCCCTCTCTGTATTGAGTTTTTATCAAAGTAATTAATTATTTTAACATTTCACTTCATTTAGATTCAAAAGTAATAGGTGGTTTTTTCTTGTGTGATATGTCCAACAAAGCACTTCATCCCCATGTTGCACTGACAATAGAAACAGAGAATGAGTAACTGGAAGAAGAGAGGTTTTTCCCAGTCTCCCTTAGTCCTTACATATTACTTTACCTTCATCATCTGTTTTATGCTATTAGGGAGATGTTTGGCTGATACACTTCAGAATCACTGTTTTATAAGATAGCCTGATTTTGGCAAATGTACCCAGGGAAGTCTTCCTTCCATGGTTTGAAAGGTGCCCTGGAAGGACACTCTGTGAACAAACTTATGACAAGAGAAAAATGCAACACAAAAGATACGACTGTGATGGCTAATTGTTCATCTAAAAAGTTGTCTTTTTATTCTAAAGGAGATAGGTCATTGAAATAAACCCATTAGTTTATAGTAAGTAATAAAGGGTATAATTGAGTTTCCATGAGCGTTTTCAATTCCCAATGTCCTGTATTATATAGGAATTATTTCAAGGCATAGTTTTTTTTTTTTTTTTTT